GCTGAAAATTGGCCTGGTAAATAAGGGGGTATAAGTGCCTGGTAGGCAAGTGGTTAACCTGACATAGGTGACATGTAACGCGGCAGGGCACCTGCTGATATTATTCAGTGTTTTTCTATCAATACCTAGAATGCTATGTAGCTCTACAATGGATCATGCTATTATAGGGATAACTAAAAGCAGGGCTTTTTTTCTCAGAGAATAGGTGCAGATACTCCCACCTTTGAGTCACCCCTTGTCTTCACTCCCTACCCACCTCTTAGTGCCATCCCTTAGTTCCACCCCCTACCCACATCCTAGTACTGCCCCTTTGTTGTTTGTATGGCATTTGCTAATGAAAGGCAGTAAAATAGGTCCACTGAAGCCAGCAACAATAGATCCCATCAGCAACAATAGATCTCCCCGTGCAACAATAGATCTCTCTGAGCAACTATAGATCCCCAAACAACAAAAGACCTCCCACAATGAAATACACCCCAGCAACAATAGATACACCCCAGCAACAATAAGCCTTCACCAGCAACAACAGATCTCCCAGCAGCCAGCATTACTAGACTTTCCAGCAGCCAGCAACAATGGACTTCTGCCTCAACAATAGATCTCTCCCATCAACAATTTACTTCTCCCCAAGCGACAATAGAGCCCCCTGAATACAACATCGATATGCCCTCCAGCACACCCCAGCACCCCTTGGCATTATATATGTTTAGTGCTGGAGGTGCCGGAATTGCGTTCCCCCACATTCTTGTTAAAAAAAAGCCCTGACTAAAGGCAACCTTTTTCACTGCCAGCTTACAATATTGCAATTTTCTGCTTCAAAATATCTTTATATAAGTCATAAAACTGAACAATAAATATGCATTCTGTGATAATTTGCCCCTTTCCAGACATTAGGTTGCTACTGTCAGATCGCTGTACAATTATTTGCAACCCTTTCTCACTTGCATGCTATGGGATTAGTTGATTTTTGTTTAGTTACTATGACCTGACAATCAGCATCATAAACTTTTTTCCTTCACCTTGCATATTATGCCTGCAGAAGATGTGCATTGATCATGTAGTTTCATGGTGTCATTTGTAAATCTTCACAATCCAATGTCAAAGGTTTCTGTTTGTGTTCAAACATGAGGCATGCGTGGGTTAAAGTGATTGTAAAACACTGTAATATAAAATGAACAGAGCATATTCCCCTGTTGTGTGTGCTGGCCTCAATCCAAAGCACTTAGTGTGATTTCTGTCTGCTGCCTCTTCCTTGTGCTGTTTGCATGAGTCATTTCTGACAGGTAATGCCAACACCACAGACTCCTGGGGGATGGAAAAGAGGAGCTCTAGTACACAGTTTGTAATTGATATCCTCAGCTGTGCATGTTTCCTTATGAGATTGTGTAAAGGGGTTTTGTCCATTCCTTCCACTCAGGTCTCAGATTACACTCCAGTCTCTGCTCTGTGCTCTGCGGTGTATTACATCAGATCCCTGTCCTTTGCCAAAATGAAATGTTATGTAAACTGTACACTTTGAAAAGATGTAGAGGAGAGATGGCTGTGGATAAACAGGTCCAATTTATGTAGGAGGATTTGTTCAATCTGAGGTTACTCCCTTCAGTGGGTACAGTATATGTAAGGGTTTACAAGCACTTTAATGCATTACCTTTGTCTGTAGTCTCAGCACGTAAACTTCCTATGAAGAAATTACACATTCCACAATTCAAGCCTAGAGGTCTGCTGGAGAGAGCTAGCAATTAGATCTGACATTGGCATAGTAATGAAGGGAAGGGGATGTGTTTCATCACATTAGCACTCCCACATTTGTGATGCAATACATAGGAAATGGATAGGCAAAGGCAAACAAATGACACAGAGCATATATACAGGTGAAACTCAAAAAATTAGAATATCTTGCAAAAGTTCATTTATTTCAGTAATGCAACTTAAAAGGTGAAACTAATATATGAGATAGACTCATTACATGCAAAGCAAGATAGTTCAAGCCATGATTTAATTGTGTTGATTATGGCTTACAGCTCATGAAAACCCCAAATCCACAATCTCAGAAAATTAGAATATTACATGCAATAAATAAAACAAGGATTGTACATAGAACAATATTGGACCTCTGAAAAGTATAAGCATGCATATGTACTCAGTACTTGGTTTGGGCCCCTTTTGCAGCAATTACTGCCTCAATGCTGCGTGGCATGGAAGCTATCAGCCTGTGGCACTGCTAAGGTGTTATGGAAGACCAGGATGCTTCAATAGCGGTCTTCATCTCTTCTGCATTGTTCGGTCTCATGTCTCTCATCCTTCTCTTGGCAATGATTCTCTATGGGGTTCAGGTGAGGCGAGTTTGCTGGCCAATTAAGCACAGTAATCCCATGGTCATTGAACCAGGTTTTGGTGATTTTGGCAGTGTGGGCAGGTGCCAAATCCTGCTGGAAAATGAAGTCAGCATCCCCACAAAGCTCGTCTGCGGAAGAAAGCATGAAGTGCTCCAAAATCTCCTGGTAGATGGCTGCGTTGACCCTGGACTTAATGAAGCACAGTGGACCAACACCAGAAGATGACATGGCTCCCCAAATCAACACAGACTGTGGAAACTTCACACTGGACTTCAAGCATCTTGCAGGGTGTGCCTCTCCATTCTTCCTCCATATTCTGGGTCCTTGGTTTCCAAATGAGATGCAAAAGTTGCTCTCATCAGAAAAGAGGACTTTGGACCACTGAGCAACAGATCAGGTCTGTTTTTTCTTTAGCCCAGGTAAGACGCTTCTGACGTTGTTTTGTTGTTCAGGAGCGGCTTGACAAGAGGAATACGACATTTGAAGCCCATGTCCAGGATCCGTCTGTGTGTGGTGGCTCTTGATGCACTGACTCCAGCCTCAGTCCACTCCTTGTGAAAGTCCCCAACACTTTTGAATGGTCTTTTCCTGACAATCCTCTCCAGGCTGTGGTCATCCTTGCTGCTTGTGCACCTTTTTCTTCCACACTTTTCCCTTCCACATAACTTTCTATTAATGTGCTTTGATACAGCACTTTGGGAACTTCCAACTTCTTTTGCAATTAGCTTTTGAGGCTTTCCCTCCTTATGGAGGGTGTCAATGATGGTTTTCTGCACAACTGTCAGGTCAGCAGTCTTTCCCATGATTGTGATTCCTACTAAACCAGACTGAGAGACCATTTAAAGGCTCAGGAAACCTTTGCAGTGTGTTATGGCTTAATTCGCTGATTAGAGTGGGACACTTTGAGCCTAGAATATTGCACCTTTTCACAATATTCTAATTTTCTGAGATTGTGGATTTGGGGTTTTCATGAGCTATAAGCCATAATCATCACAATTACAACAAATCACAACGTGAACTATCTTGCTTTGCATGTAATGAGTCTATCTCATATATTAGTTTCACCTTTTAAGTTGCATTACTGAAATAAATGAACTTTTGCACGATATTCTAATTTTTCGAGTTTCACCTGTAGTAACAACATTAATAAATTAGTACCTAGTTAAAACTATCCACTTCATGTACTCCACCAACTCCACATTGGCTTAATCTAGTATTCAATGACAAAAATATAACAAACCCAATGAACACTGTGCAGCAATTGGTAGCCAATAAACTACCCAGGAGGAGGATGTTTCTTTCACCTGGCTTTAAACAGTGATTTTGTTCTTGTTTTTGTTACTGTGGCCATTTTTATTTTTTGATGCATTGTTTTATCAGAATAATTCACCCCATGTGTTTGGGCTGTAGCATACTATAGCAAGTAGAGCCAGTGTCAGGAATGAACTGGCCAGCAATGGTGGGACTCGCCTGCCATATGGGCTGCAGTACCAGGGCTGGCTAGCGGGTGCTCCCAGCAATCAGAGACTCAACCTTGCAGCCAGCTAAATACCTGAAACTGCTTATGCTGGTGTATTTAAGGGATGGCCAGACCTGCAGACTCTGCCTTGGTGTGTGTTTCTCCTGGGCCCTGTATCCTGTTCTTGCTCCCTGTTCCTGTTCCTGTTCCTGTCTGATTCGTTGCTGACCCTGCTCTGATCCCTGGCTTTGTCTGACCATTCTCCTGCTCCTGATCCCTGGCTTGTCTGACCATTCTCCTCTGCCTGACCCTCTGTACCACGCTGCCCGCTACCTGCTGAACCTGGCTTGTGACCCCGACCATTCTCCGCTTGCTCCCCCTGTACCTACCTGCCTGATTGATATTGACCCGGCCTGCCTGACGACGCTTGCATTGTATGTATAGTTATCTGTGGGTGGTTGGTTTGGTTTGTTTGCACTGTGTTATGTTTTAGTATTGCACTGCGTTTATGTTTGTATTGTTAGTGTCAATAAATTATATTGTTTTATAACATATCTGAAGTCTGCGTTTCCCTGCGTCAGTCACACACCTCTGGTCATACCCTGGAGCCCTGACATTACACCAAGGCCAATCCTGACCAGAAGTGGCTGCACAGGGAAGCCATCTTGGTTTGTTGATGGGAAGGATGGATCTGGATGAGGTTGAGTATTTATATCTGCTAGTGTTTGATGACAGAGAGTATGCTTATCAGACTCTGAAGGAGTATACCCGGGATCAACTGCTAGAATGTATACGGCTCGCTCATGTTCTAGTAGATCAGGGCACAGAATTCTCTGAGGTGCAGCCATTGATTCAGGTTTGTGCGGAGCTGGTTTCATCTGGTACCCCCGAATGCAGGGATGAATTTTTGCCGCCATTTAGTGCCGACCAGGTAGAGTCCCTGGTATGGTTATTAGAGGATGATGTGGATTACTTTCTGGAGCATTATGCTGCATGTTCACCACAGGTACTAAGAGATTGTATAAACGCAGTGCAGTCTTTGGTCAGACAGGCTTTGTGTAAGCTCAGCTTTGTTCAACCCATACTGCAGACATGGACAGATTTGTTGCACCCAGCCTCAGTCAGCTTACAAAAACCCAGTCCTGCTTCTAATCTATTTCTTCAAAGCTCAATTCCCAACATTCCCAACAGCACCTCCAGTTTCAGCCCAGTATACCCTGCTATCTACCGCATGTCAGTACCCTGTTCCCACTCGCTGCACCTATCCTGCCTTTAACCCTGTAAAGAAGCCCTCTGTAGCAACTGCTCCCTCCTCTGTTCCATCTTCCAGCTCTTCTCTGTCCTCAGCTGCTCCATTCGTTTGCAGACCTGCGTTTACTTGCAGTGCTCCAGTAGTTAAAACCAGAAAAAAGCGAAAATTCTTTCCAACCAATACCATCCTGCCAGTATCCAAAACGGTGAGCCTGCCGTCTGAGAACCTGCCTTCCGTGGTTCAGCCTGGTGCCTCGGCACCCGCACTTCAGCCTGAGGTCTGTACCCAGCCTGATGCCTGTCTTCAGCCTAATGCCTCTCTTCAGCCTGATGCCTCTCTTCAGCCTGATGCCTCTACTCAGCCTGATGCCTCCACTCAGCCTGATGCCTCCACTCAGCCTGATGCCTCTCCACTCAACCTGATGCCTCCACTCAGCCTGATGCCTCTACCCAGCATGATGAACTGATCCAGCCTGATGATCCTATTAGGCCAGTTGACTCGATGCCCGCTGTTGATCCAGATGATCCGGTACCTGATCCAGTGCCCGCTGTCGTGCCAATTGACTCAGAGCCCGCTGTCGTACCTGGTGACTCGGTGCCCACTGCCTTGCCAGATGACGCGGTGCCCGCTGGCGAGCCAAATGACCTGATGCCTGGTGACCCAGTGCCCGCTGTCATACCTGCTGACCCGATGCCCGCTGTCGAGCCAGACGATCCAATGCCTGGTGACTTGGTGCCCACTGTCTTGCCAAATGACCTGATGCCCCTGGTGATGCCCGATGCCCGCTGTCCAGCCAGACGATCCAATGTCTGACCCAGTGCCCGCGGTCATACCAGTTGACTCGAAGCCCACTGCCTTGCCAGATGACGCGGTGCCCGCTGTCGAGCCAAATGACCTGATGCCTGGTGACCCGATGCCCGCTGTCCAGCCAGACGATCCAATGTCTGACCCAGTGCCAGCGGTCATGCCAATTGACTCAGAGCCCGCTGTCGTACCTGGTGACTCGGTGCCCACTGCCTTGCCAGATGACGCGGTGCCCGCTGGCGAGCCAAATGACCTGATGCCTGGTGACCCAGTGCCCGCTGTTATACCTGGTGACCCGATGCCCGCTGTCGAGCCAGACAATCCGGTACCTGATGACCCGGTGCCCGCTGTCGTGCCAATTGACTCAGAGCCCACTGTCGTGCCTGGTGACTTGGTGCCCACTGTCTTGCCAGATGACGCGGTGCCCGCTGTTGAGCCAAATGACCTGATGCCTGGTGACCCGATGCCCGCTGTCCAGCCAGACGATCCAATGTCTGACCCAGTGCCCGCGGTCATACCAGTTGACTCGGAGCCCTCTGCCTTGCCAGATGACGCGGTGCCCGCTGTCGAGCCCAAATGACCTGATGCTGGTGACCGATGCCCGCTGTCCAGCCAGACGATCCAATGTCTGACCCAGTGCCAGCGGTCATGCCAGTTGACTCGGAGCCCACTGTCGTGCCTGGTGACTCGGTGCCGCCGCTCCGCCTGGGGGCCCGAGACCTGTCGCTCCGCCTGGGGGTCCGGTGCCCGCCGCTCCGCCTGGGGGTCCGGCGCCCGCCGCTCCGCCTGGGGGCCTGAGACCTGTCGCTCCGCCTGGGGCCTGAGACCTGTCGCTCCGCCTGGGGGCCTGAGACCTGTTGCTCCGCCTGGGGGCCTGGGGGCCTGAGACCTGTCGCTCCGCCTGGGGGCCTGAGACCTGTCGCTCCGCCTGGGGGTCCGGCGCCCGCCGCTCCGCCTGGGGGCCCGAGACCTGTTGCTTCCGCCTGGGGTCCGGCGCCCGTCGCCCGCCTGGGGGCCCGAGCGCCTGTCGCTCCGCCTGGGGGTCCGGCGCCCGCCGCTACCTCCGTGGGGGCCCGGCGCCCGCCGCTCCGCCTGGGGGTCTGGCGCCCGCCGCTCCGCCCTGGGGTCCCGAGACCTGTCGCTCCGCCTGGGGGTCCGGCGCCCGCCTCTCCGCCTGGGGGCCCGAGACCTGTCGCTCCGCCTGGGGGCCCCCGATGCCTGTCTCCCCCGCCTGGGGGCCCGATGCCTGTCGCCCCGCCTGGGGGCCTGCGCCCCCGCCTGGGGGCCCGGCGCCGCCGCCCCGCCTGGGGGCCCGGCGCCCGCCGCCCCGCCTGGGGGCCCGCCGCTCTGCCTGGGGGCCCGGCGCCGCCGCTCCGCCTGGGGGGCCCCCGGCGCCCCCGCCTGGGGGCCTGATGCCCGTCGCCCCCCGCCTGGGGGGCCCCGGTGCCTGTCCCGCCGGCCCCCGCCTGGGGGCCCGTTGCCCTGCTGCTCTGCCTGCCTGGGGTCCGGTGCCTGCTGCTGCGCCTGGTGGCCCGTGCCTGCCTGGTGGCCCGCTGCCTGCTGCTGCGCCTGGTGGCCCGCTGCCTGCTGCTGCGCCTGGTGGCCCGCTGCCTGCTGCTGCGCCTGGTGGCCCGGTGTGCCTTCTGCCCGGAGTCTAGCCCGACGTGCCTCTGCCCGGAGTCCAGCTCGATGTGCCTCTGCCCGGAGTCCAGCCCGATGTGCCTCTGCCCGGAGTTCAGCCCGATGTGCCTCTGCCCGGAGTCCAGCCCGATGTGCCTCTGCCCGGAGTCCAGCCCGATGTGCCTCTGCCCGATGTGCCGCTGCCCGGTGTGCCTCTGCCCGATGTGCCGCTGCCCGGAGTCCTGCCCGGTGTGCCAGTCTTTGATATCCCGCCTGTTACCACAGCTAAACACCTGAAACTGCTTATGCTGGTGTATTTAAGGGATGGCCAGACCTGCAGACTCTGCCTTGGTGTGTGTTTCTCCTGGGCCCTGTATCCTGTTCTTGCTCCCTGTTCCTGTCTGATTCGTTGCTGACCCTGCTCTGATCCCTGGCTTTGTCTGACCATTCTCCTGCTCCTGATCCCTGGCTTGTCTGACCATTCTCCTCTGCCTGACCCTCTGTACCACGCTGCCCGCTACCTGCTGAACCTGGCTTGTGACCCCGACCATTCTCCGCTTGCTCCCCATGTACCTACCTGCCTGATTGATATTGACCCGGCCTGCCTGACGACGCTTGCATTGTATGTATAGTTATCTGTGGGTGGTTGGTTTGGTTTGTTTGCACTGTGTTATGTTTTAGTATTGCACTGCGTTTATGTTTGTATTGTTAGTGTCAATAAATTATATTGTTTATAACATATCTGAAGTCTGCGTTTCCCTGCTTCAGTCACACACCTCTGGTCATACCCTGGAGCCCTGACAGCCAGCTACTAACAAATCCTCCTTGTGTGTTCTTTGCATGGAACTAAGCAATGCATAAGACAAGCTTAGGTCTAACAGCAGGCACCCTGTACTGGTTATATTAAAATTGGTCCCCTAAAGAAACTCACCTAAATATAGTAGGGTTATAATGATTTACGTGGCCATCTGTTACTAGCCTGAATACTGAAAAATGCAGGAAAAATTAGCAATCAAGTGCCAAGGGGAACTACTTATAGTTCCCCCACAAGCTCTCCTTTAAAGATTTGAATTCAGATTCAGAATACTTTATTAATCACAAAGGGAAATTATTAAAGCTTGTAATAGCTACTAACAATAGACCTTTCTTTGTTACTAGTAATGAGCCAAACATACCTGGGTTCGGTTGAAGCAAGTTCGCAGAACCTGAGTAAAGTTCAGGTAAAAAAAAGTACTGGACTTTTTTAGGCTAATAGGAAAGGGATTGTATACAAAATAAATGGCAGGGGGGGCTGGGCACTGCTCTGGAGAGAAAATGTTTAAAAAATCCTGTTTGGAAGGAAGCATAATTTTTTTTATAATGCTTTAAAGGCAATACTGAAGATGTAAAATTCCTCTAAATTACTTGTCCAGGGGATGCACTTAACCTGCCTGTGAAGTGGCACATCCATATGATGTACACAACCAACAGCAGCTAAACTGATATTTACATAGAATAACGTCACTTAAAATGATGTCAAATGACAGTTTACTACTGTTTGTAAACATACAGCTGGGGATTCACTTCATCTACACTAGGCCATTATTTTTAAAGAGGGTCTAGTATGGATGTCAAGTGGAACCCCACTTAAAAAAATGCCAAAGTGTCCCTCCAAAATGAATTTTGATGGGGAACCCAAAGAAAAAATTGGCATGGGGTCTCACGAAAACTCCATGTGAGATATTTATCAAGCATTCAGCCTGGCAGATCAGGAAAGGGGGAGGGGAACGAGTGTGCACCCCATCCCCTGAACTGAACCAGACCACATGCCTGGAGACTTTGTCAGGGAAGACTCATGTAGCCATATTTGATCAGGGTGGTCCCGCTATGCTCTCCCCTTTGTTTACATGTCTAGGGATTCCCAGCCATTAAATGAGTGGGGCCAGGTGATGTTAATGGTTGGTAAGGATGTAGAGGGTGTCGGCACCTGCCACTTCCTTAGCAACTATTGAAAAGAAGGAAACTGTCATGTTTAGAAGTTTAGAAGTGGTATAAATGCTGCTACTATACATGACATTTGCTCCCACAGAATGAGTAAAAAGTCTGGTGTTCGAACGCGTGCCGTAATGACACATTTTAGTCCGAATTTGTGTCTTTTTTGCTATATGAAGTACTTCTGAATATCTCTAATATGTATAGGCAACTGGCAAAAATACTGTCTAGTTGTACTAGCAATGCATATGCAGCAGTAGGGTTGAAGTGTATCATACAAGGAAGAATGCTTTAAAAGGGCTACAAAGAAATCCTACTAAAATAATTTAGTGTTTTGGAACTCCCGAGTCCTTGGACAGTGACCTAATTTTCTTGGCAAAAATAAAATTTTTCTTCAGCAGCTTTACTTCTGTTTGTAAAAAAACAGCTAGGGATTCCTTTCATCCATACCAATCCATGTCCTAAAAAAATTTCATTTATTTGCTTGCAAATGACAGCTCCCTGCTGCTTACTTGTGTTTGTAAATAAATGGCCAAGGATTCCCTTCATTCATACCAGACCCTTATCCTTAAAAAAAAAATAATAATAATTTGCTAGCAAATGACAGCTCCCTGCTGTTTACTTCTATTTGTACATAAATGGTCAGGCATTCTCTTCATCTATACTAGGCTCATATCCTAGGTGATGGTCTGATATGGTTGTTAATGGAGCACTAGAAAAAAAAACAATGTTGGGTTCTCTTCAAAAATACATATCAGACCCTTATCCTTTAAAAGGGGCTGGTATGAATGTTAAGGGGGGACCCCATGCATAAAACAAAAGAAAAATGGCATAGGGTCCCCACAAAATCCCAAAGCAGACCCTTGGTAATTTAAAGGGAGAATTCTATGCCAAAAACATGAAAAAAAGTGTGAAGTCTCCCCTAAATCCATATCAGACCCTTATCTGAGCAGGCCAGGAAAGGTGGAGGATCAGAGTACTCCTGAATCTTATCAGGCCACATGCTCCCAACATGGAGGGGTACTTTGTCAGGGATGACTTCCCTGGCAAAGCACCTTTTCCCAATGTTGACGGGAAGAAGGGCCTCTAACCCACAACCAGGGCCGTGGATAAGAGGGTACCACCAGTCCTTCTGCACAGGGCCCAGGTCAGCAGGGGAGCCCAGGCAGCAGAGTGAATCAGATGTGAGCAGGGAGGATGATCGGCATGGCAGGAGCAATTACTGGAATCAATCCCCTGTAAGACTTTCTCTGTAGCAGCTGAAAGCCGTCTTCTTCTCTTTCTCCCTCCTGCTGGCTTTCAGCTGCTGCAGAGAGAGCCATGCAGGGGATCAATTCCAGTAATTGCCCCCCCTCCCATCACCCTCCCTGTGCACCATACATTTCCACCTTCTGCTCAGGCCCTCCTGTGTGTCCCCACCTCTGTAGTACTTCTGGCTTCTCTCCTCTCCTTCCTACCTGTAGCTGCAAGCACACAATAGGATCCCTCAGGATGGAAAGTGGGGGAAGGGACTGGTAAAATGTCACATTTACCAGCCCCTTTCTTTC